CCAGGCTTAGTGGTGCACACCTGTAACCCCAGTGGCTAGGGAGGCTAAGATTGGAGGATTGTGAGTTCAAAGCCAGCCTCAGCCAGGACGAGGCTCTAAGCAATTCAATGAGACCCTCTCTCTAAATAAAATACAAAATAGGGATGGGGATGTGGTTCAGTGGTTGTGTGCCCCTGAGTTCAATCCCCAGTACCCAAAATTAATTAATTAATTAATTAATTAATTGAATAAAATAAACCTTCCACTTCAGGCTGAACATCCATAATCTGAAACTCTTTATTGTTCCAAAATTTGCCAGTTTTTGAGCATGGAGGTTCAACCACAAATAGAAAATTCTATACCAGGAAGTGGTGTGTTTTTTTGTTTGTTTGTTTGTTTTTAGTTGATGATTCTTTATTTATTTTTATGTGGTGCTGAGGATTGAACCCAGGGCCTCACACATGCTAGGCAAGTGCTCTAACCACTGTGTCACAACCCCATCCCTATACCAGGAAAATTATTGCACAAAATTATTAGAAATACTTTATCAAATTACTTTCAGGCAGTGTGTATAAGGTTTATCTGAAACACAAGTGAATTTTGTGTTTAGATATGCATTCCATCTCTCAAAAATATACCATATGCAAGTATTCCAAAATCTAAAAAAATCTGAAATCTGAAAAACTTCCAGACGTAAGCCCAAATATTTCAGATAAGGAATATATAACACATGTTAAAGGAATATTTTTTGCCCTTATATTTTTGCAGGGAGGTACCAGAGATTGAATTCAGGGGCACTCAACCACTGAGCCACATATTCAGCCCTATTTTGTATTTTATTTAGAGATAGGGTCTCAATTATTTACTAAGATTGGTAACCTTTTGACTTAGCAACTTAGTAAGGCCCTAAGCAATTTAACATGACAGGACAATTTAACATGACAGCAATTTAACAAGACAATTTAAATGAGACAGGGTCTCATTTTGCTGAGGCTGGCTTTGAACTCGTGATCCTCCTGTCTCGGCCTCCCTAGCTGCTGGGGTTATACAGGCATGCGCCACTGCACCCCGCCATCCTTTGCCCTTAAAATTTAAGAACTGCTGGACACCATGATATACACAAATAATCCCAGCAATTTGGGAGGCTGAGGCAGGAGAATCGCAAGTTCAAGGCCAGCCTCAGCAACTTAGCAAGACCCTGTCTCAAAATAAAAAGGGCTGGGGGTATAAATAAGTGGTAAAGTGCTCCTTGGTTCAAACCCCAGTTCAAAAAATTAAGAATTCAACTTTATAATAACAAGATACAGAAGTATAGATTATTCTTTGATATGACAACGACTTATAAATATTCTCTAACCACCTTCCTTATTTGTCTGAGCAGTGCTGCCAGCTCAGGGCTTGTACTCACAAAGTTCCAAATTGTGGTATCAACATTTGCAATTCAGGGTTCATCTAGATGCTGCTGAAACATGTAGCTTATGGTTTGAGGTATACATTTAGCCAAGGCTGTTTCATAGAATTAGGGCTCAAAATCATGTATTGCCACCTCATCCTTATTGAATTAGGACTTCTTAGGGGGAGGCATGCATGGAGCATATTTAACAAGGCCCTCAGGGATCCTACTGATTGACTGGGATACAAAGGAGGGACCTGCACCTTCAGATGGGGGTCAAGGAGTTTTCCTAAAAGAATTGGAAACATCTAAACAGGGTTTCTCCACCTCGGCACACTTGACATGGGGACTGGGTAATTCTCTGTTGTGGGGGGGCTATCCTGTGCACAGTAGGGTATTTAGCAGCATCCCTAGGATCTACCCACTTGATGCCAGGGGAACACCCCAGATGTGACAACCAGAGATCCCTCTGGATGTTGCCAAGAGTTCCCTAGACCACAGGTCTCAGACTGATAAATGGGGAGGGGAAGGCTCAGTTCAAGGAGCCCTTGGAAGAAGGAAGTGAAGTCATGGGAGGGACCGTGGCCCTGATTAAACTGAGATTCCAAGTGATGGAAGGTGGGATAGCATTCTAGGCAGTAGGAGCGATGGGAGCCAAGGGAAGAGGGGTGCGGCCTACAGGTGGATAGGGTGCTGGAGAGAGGGTGGGGCAAAGGCCTACCCCGGATCCGGGTCTGTGGGTGCAGCTGGGTAATGGGATTTTATTCAGGCCTGTCATCTCTATCCTTCCCCAGTGAGTCCCAGAAATGGGGGCCACTGGATGAGAGGCCCGGCCTCCCTCTGGCCCTGCTCTGCTTGCACACTGACCTCCCTCCGCCTGTGCCCACAGTGCCTCAACCTGGCCTTCCTACTGGCTGATGTGCTGTTGACCTTCCTGCCGAGCATCTACATCGTCTTCTTGATCATCCTCTACGAGGGGCTCCTGGGGGGCGCGGCCTACGTGAACACCTTCCACAACATTGCTCTGGAGGTCAGTACCAGCCAGCAAGGCTGTGGGGGGTCCCTCTGAGGGAGTCCAGGGCAGAGACCCCTAGCTTTACCACCCCCTCCCCCTGTCTCTGCTCTCCCAGACCAGTGACCAGCACCGAGAATTTGCCATGGCAGCCGCCTGTATCTCTGACACCCTGGGGATCTCCCTGTCAGGGGTCCTGGCCCTGCCTTTGCATGACTTCCTCTGCCAGCTGCCCTGACGCTCTGACGGGTCGGAGCACAGGCCTGCCGGGTGGGAAGTGCTAAGATCTGTTCCCCTTGACCATGGGTCAGCCGTGGTCTCCTCCTCTCAAGCTGGTCTTGGGAGTTTCTTCACAGCATTATGCCCTCTGAATAAATGCTTATTTTATCAATTGACTTCTTGTGCAATTCTTTTTTTTTTTCTGAAAAACTGTTATAAAAATTACACAAGGCCACTTTGAAACATATGTGTATATGTGTACATGTTATAAATGTATATGTGAGTGTATAAAGAAAGCACTGCAGCAGACTTCTGCCCAGTCTTTGAGGCTTTATTATTTTATTTTTTCATTCTGTAGCTCTATCTATACATCTTTATTTCCCAACACGAAAGTACTTTTTTTTTTTTTTCGTACCAGGGATTGAACCCAGGGGCACTTAATCATTGAGCCACATCCCCAGCCCTTTTTATTTTTTATTTTGAGACAGGATCTTACTAAGTTGCTTAGGGCCTCACTGAGTTGCTGAGGCTGGCTTTGAACTCAGGATCCTCCTGCCTCAGCCTCCAGAGTCTCTGGGATTACAGGAGTGCACCATCATACCTGTCTTGCACAGTGTTGTCCAATCTTGGAGTATATAGCAGTACTTCTTTCCGTGTTGTAGTACTTTATTCCTTTTTGTGGCAGAATAATATCCCATTCCATGAACACTTAGCATTTTGTTTCTCTATTTGTTAGTGGATGGACACTTGAGTTTCATTTTTTTTGGTAGGAATTCGATTGCTACAAACATTTCTCTTGGGTAACACCTAGGAATACAATTGCTGGGTCTTAAAGTAACTGTGTTTAATCCTTCGAGAAGCTGCCAGGCTCCAAAATGGCTGTACTGAGCCAGGCTCAATGATGTACACCTGTAGTCCCAGCAGCTGGAGAGGCTGAGGCAGGAGGATTGCAAGTTCAAAGCCAGCCTCAGCAACTTAGTGAGACCCTGTCTCCAAATAAGAAACAAAAGGGGCTGGGGATGTGGCTCAGTGGAAAAGCACCCCTGGGTTCAATCCCTGGTATGAAATAAAACAAAATGTCTGCACTGGTTTACATTCCTCTGTGTGGCACGAGGGTTCTACTTTCTCCACATCCTCACCAATACTTACTGTTTCCCATTTTTGTGGGTGTATGTGGTCGATTGGTTTGGTTTTTGTTTTATTATAGGCATTCTAATGAGTGTGGGATCTCACTGTGGTTTTGATTTGCATTTCCCTGATGATTAATGATGTTGAACTTTTTCTCTTTGCATACTCATTGTCCATCCGTGTATCTCCCTCGAGAAATGTCGATCCAGATGCCTGCCGGTTTTGAAATTGGCCCTTCAGGGCTGGAGTGTAGCTTAGTAGCAGAGTGCTCTCCACTGAAGGAAGATTATATTTTGTTTTGTTTGAATCCCCACTACCAAAAAATGAAAATTAATAATAATAATAAGAGCTGGGGAGGTAGCTCAGTGGTAGAGCGCCCCTGGGTTCGATCCCTAGTACTAAAAAGAAAAAGAAGGAAGAAAGTGGGTATCCTGTCTTAGCTCTGATCTTGGGGAAAATGCTTTCAGTCTTTTATCATTAAGTACAATGTTAGCTGTGAGATTTCTGTAGATGCTTATCTTAGTTGTTTGGGATGCTATAACAAAATACCTAAAACTAGGTAATTTAAACAACAAATTATTGCTCACAGTTCTGGAAGCTGTGAAGGCCAAGACCAAGGGGTTAGCAGATTTGGTGTCTGGTGACAGCTCTTCCCTCATGGGTGGCACCTTCTATTTGTCCTCATGTGGTAGGAGGGGCAGATTAACTCCCTTGGATTTCTTTCTTTCTTTGGTACTGGGGATTGAACTCAGAGGCACTGAGCCACATCCTCAGCCTCTCTTTGACATCCAGCCTCTCTTTGTATTTTATTTAGAGACAGGGTCTTAGTAAGTTGCTTAGGGCCTCAATAAATTGCTGAGTCTGGCTTTGAACATGTGATCCTCCTGCCTCAGCCTCCTGAGCTGCTGGGATCACAGGCATACACCACCATGCCCCGCTTCCTTGGATTTCTTATTAGGGCACTAATCTCATTCTTGAGGGCTCCATCCTCATGAACAAATCAGCTCCTAAAAGCGCCACCTCTTAATACTATTGCATTGGAGATTAGGTTTTAACATCAAATTTGAGGTTGGGGCACAATCATTCAGACCAATGAATGCCCATTTATCAAGTTAAAAAAAATCTGTTCATTCCTAATTTGTCATGAAGGGGTGTTGAATATTTCCAAATGCTTTTTTTGGCATCTATTAAGCTAATCATATGGTTTTTGTATTTTATTCTATTGATATGGTATTTACATTAGTTCTTTTTTTTTTAAGTACTAGAGGATTGAACCCACTGAGCTACATTCTTAGTCCTTTTATTTTATTGTATTTTTATTTTTTTATATATTTTTTTATTTTTAGGTTGACACAGTATTTTTATTTTATATTTATGTGGTGCTGAGGATCAAACCCAGTGCCTCATGCATGCTAGGCGAGCACTCTACCACTGAGCCACAACCCCAGCCCCATTGTATTTTTTATTTTGAGACAGGGTCTTACTAAATTTCTAAGGTCCTAAATTGCTGAGGCTGGCCTTGAATTTGTGATCCTCCTGCCTCAGCCTCCTAAGTCTAGGATTATAGGTGTGTGCCACTATGCCAGGCTGGGTGTTCTAGAATTTTACCCATGATTTTTGTGTCTGGTCTGTTGTCTTCTTGCATTGTTTTCTTCTGGTTTTGGTATCTTGATAACACTGGCCTCAAGAATGAGTTTGCAAGCGCTTCCTCCTCTATTCTTTGTTAGAATTTGTAAAGAATTGAGCTGGGCATGGTGGCACAGCAGCTTGGGAGGCTGAGTCAGGAGGAGCGTGAGTTCTAAGCGGGCCTCAGCAATTTAGCAAGGCCCTAAGCAACTCAGTGAGACATCAACTTAGTGAGACCCTAAATAAAATATTAAAAGGGCTGGGGATGTAGTTCAGTGGTTAAGTTCAGCCTTCAGTTGTTTTGTTTTATGAAGAATTAGTGTTGATTTTTCTTTACATGTTTGTGAAATCGACCAATGAAGCCATCTAGACCTGGGTCTGTCTTTGTAGATAAGTAGTTACTGCTATGGTTTTTTAAAATTTTTGTTTGTTTGTTTGTTTTGGGGGAAGCTGGTACTGGTGATTGAATCCAGGGGTGCTTTACCACTGAACTACATCCCCCAACCCTTCTTATTTTTTATTTTGAGACGGGGTCTCACTAATTTGCTTAGGACCTTGCTAAATTGCTGAGGTTGGCCTTGAGCTTGATCCTTCTGCCTCAGCTTCCTGAGCCACTGAGATTACAGGGGTGTGACACTGTACCCAGATACACATAGTTTTTAAGCCCCTGAAATGTGGCTAAGAGAAATATGGCTGAGAAACTGACCTTTTTGTTTTATTAATTTGTTAGGTTAAATTGAACAGGTCACAGTGGTTATTTACTGTATTGAACAGGTCTGGAGCAGTTGTTCTCCATGGGGTGATACTGCCTCCTAGGGACACATTGGAAATTCATGGGGCTGCTGAATCGCACTGTGAATAGGGACAGTGTCCTTAGAGGGTAAGAGCCATGGCATCCTGCTATGTACAGGAATTATTCTGTTTGTTTGGGTGGCTTTTCCGTGTCTTCCCTAAGACATCTAACAATATATGCCAAGAGTCTCTTGGTTTTAATGAACGCTGAATTTTTCAGGGCTACGACTGTCCTTTTGCTATGAGCTAAATGTTTCTGCCTTCCCACCACCAATTCATATGTTGAATCCCTAATGTGATGGTATTAGGAGGTGGGGCCTTGGGGGTTAACTAGGGTCAGATTAGTTTAGGAAGGTGGGGACTTCATGGTGGCATTAATACCCTTTGTGTGTGTGTGTGTGTGTGTGTGTGTATGTGTGTGTTGCTGGGGATTGAACCCAGGGCCTTGTGCATGTGAGGCAAGCACTCTACCAACCGAGCTGTATCCCCAGCCCCTCATTCACTTTTGATCATAAGTGTGTATACAATTGCTAACTATATGACACATAATTGTGTGTGTGTGTGTGTGTGTGTGTGTGTGTGTGTAACTAGGGATTGTACCCAAGGCCTCACCCAAGCTAGGCAAGTGCCCTACCACAGGCTGCATCCTCAGATCTTGTAAATTTTTATTTTGAGACCTAAAATACTTATTTTTAAATGTCAAATATAAAGAAAAAAGATCAACATTTTTTCATGTTACAGTTGTTTTTTCATAAGTCTCAACTGTCAAAACTGTCATTTCAAGCCAGGCGTGGTGGTACATGTCTATAATTCCAGTGACTCTGGAGGCTGAGGCAGAAGGATCATGAGTTCAAAGCCAGCCTCATCTAAAGTAAAGCACTAACCAATTTAATGAAATCCTGTCTCTAAATAAAATACAAAACAGGGCTGGGGATGTCACCAGTGCCCCTGAATTCAATCCCCAGTACACCCCCCCCCAAAAAAAAAATATATGCACCACCACATCCAGCTTCTTTTTTCTTTTTAGTAAATATGCTTAGATTATAGCAGCATTTACTGAATATAGACTTACTCTATGACTCAACTGTCATACCCAAGATACAAAATACTTGTAGAAAAGCATTGATAACAGCTTTATTTATAAGAGCCCAAACTGTAGATCAAATCAACAAATATATTGTGAGATAGTTACACATTTGAAGATCGTTCAGCAATCAAAAATGAATGAACTACCATGTCGGTACACATCGCAACACAGACGCACCTCATGAGCATTATGGTTAGCAAAAGAAGTCTCACATAAAAGAGCATATATCTCACTATATTTACATGAAGCTCAAGAACAGACAAGACTAATACAGCTGCTCCCTGACTTATCATGCTTTAACTTAGAATTTTTTGGCTTTACCATAGTAAAGCTTACCCCTGAAATCCTTCTGCTTTTCACTACCAGTGCAGTATTCAATAAATTATGTGAGCTGGGTACAGTGGCACACACCTGTAATCCCAGAAACTCGGAGGCTGAGGCAGGAGGGTTGTAAGTTCAAGGCCAGCCACTTAGCAAGACCCTGTCTCAAAAAATCAAAAATAAAAAAAAGGATGGGGATGTGGCTCAGGAGTAGAGTTCCCC